TGTCTGTCTGTCTGGCTGTCTGTCTGTCTGTCTGTACTGTCTGTATTGTCGTTGTCTGTCTGTATGCTCTGGTCACTGTCTGGTGTAGCAGAGAGAGAGTGAGACGAGGAGGAGAATTGAGCGGAGAGATGAAGGAATGAGGAGGAGCGAGAGAATGTGAGAATGTGTCTGTCTGTCTGTGAGAGAGAGAGAGAATGTGAGAATGTGTCTGTCTGTGTGAGAGAGAGAGAGAGAGAGAGAGAGTGTGTGTGAATTGTTACAGCTCAAATGACTTCCATGTTAAAAAAAAGACTTTAAAAAGCTGAATGTTTTAAAAAGTATAACATATTTTGAAAAAGTTGAAAGTTTCCCCATCATGTGCTGAAAAGGCTGAATAGTTTGATATTTGAATGGTTCCTGCAGCTGAAATTAGGCTGAAGGAGTTAAATAAAGATATTAAATGTAAGTAGTAGTGAATGAATGTAAACCCAGAGATGAAAGGTTACCATGGTGACGACTTATGACGATTTACCAACTGCAGCACTGATGCCCCTTTCACACCGGCGCTTTTCCAGCTCCTGCTCGGAGCTGGAGCTGGAAAAGCGCCGGTTTTTCCTGTTCACACCGCAGCGGCGGCGCGTCATAGCTCCGGAAAGCGGTTCACTTCCAGCTCCAAAAAATGGTCGGTCCAGAGGCAAGAGCTTCGGAGCTATGACGCGGCGTCGCTTACGTCTCTCTTACGTCGAGGCGTGCAGGAAACCTTACTTTGACCATCCGTTCGCTGTTATTGATCATTGTGGAGAGCAGGCAGACGTTTTGTTTGTTATTATAGCAGCTATCGGATGGAATTAATACATGGGCTGTACAGGTTGTCATGTCCGACTATCACAAGTAGAATCATAATGAAAAATACGCCGGTAAAATGTGCTTGTAGAAAACGGCTTACCAAGTAGTCAGTTTAGCTTCGGTTGCTATGCTAACATCACCCATGTTATACCAGAGAAACTTTCATAACAGCGTTGTGATGCTAAACAGCGTCAATTCAGACTGACACACATTCACTTAAGGGGAACTGGGGATATGTATCAGCTGCTTGTGTGACAGTCAGACAGTGAATACTTTAGAGCCGTGTGAGCTAACCCGGAGCTAACGGGAGAATAAACTCCCGTGGAGCAGCCAGCACTGCAGCGGTCGGTAAATGCCGCTGAAACACATTAATAAACAATGAACCACGGCACTCTGGAGAAAAGTATAAGGTTGGAGAAGTCGTTATTTAATTTAATCTGGCTTCGTATGATTAAAAGCAACACGATCATCGACCCGACGCAGTCCCCGGCCCGTTGTTGTTGTGGGAGAATATCAGCGACGTAAACTGTGACGTCATGACGCAGCAGCGGCAGCTCTGGGCGGTGTGAACAGAGCGGGAGCTGAAAAGGGAAACCGGAGCTGAACCAGAAAAGCTCTCGCTAGGAGCTAGAAAGGGAAAAGCGCTGGTGTGAAAGCCGCATGAGTCCCATTAAGAATGCATTGAGGATTATATCTGACAATTTTGCCACCTGTTCAAAAACTATGGCTCCTATCAAAAAATTACCAGACCGTGAGCATCAGGGAACCCCAATGAACATATGTTGTTTTTTTTGGTTTTGTGTGTAAAATGTGGAGATGGGCGCAGTTTGTCTAAAGCAGGGGTCTCCAACCTTTCTTCATCTGAGAGCTACTTTCAAAAAATGAAAGTGGCCAAGAGCTACTTGCATCACATCGCTTACATTTATTCACATAGCCCTCATCAGTTGAATTAAGCTATACTTTTGTACACGTGTGAAATTGCAATAACTAAAGCTTATCACAAATCTTAACTTCACATCAAGGTCCAAGAAAACGAAGATTTCTCACATATTATTATGGCCCACATAATAAGTACATCACTGAACATTCACATAAATGTCCTTAATCACCACCTTACAAGCATGTCACTCTTTTGTTAGTGAGATGAATGGCACTGCATGGAGTCCACCATACAGGTGTATGCTGGACCCACTTAGGTTCACTCTAATAGAGTCATTTAAATGTTCATCAGTCAGTATTGTTCTGTATTTAGATTTCATGACATTCATGTCAGAAAAAGCTGCTTCACAAAGGTATGTAGAACAGAACCAAATAAAGCAGACATTTTCAGTGCTGCTTGGTGAATGTTCTATAGTTTTCTGGGTCTACAAGGCTCCAGAAATGTTGTGAGTTTTGCTGAGACTTAAGCTGAACATTATTTTGGAGATCTCCACAGGATTGACACTGAACAGTTGTTCAGCCATCTTTTTCTTCTTCTTCTTCGTCTTGACATTAAATTATAAACCATAATAAATCAATTGTATAGGTCTAGCCTCCCTATATCTGTGTGTGAAAATGGTTCCATCCTCAAAAACAAAAAACGAATACTTCTGCAGTCTAGCTGCAGCTTCTAGCAACGGTCTTCTGTTAAAAAAAAAGACACTGAATGTCTTGAATGTGGCATCACACACAGGACTTGAGTCTGAACACAGCAGACAACAGGAGTATTTAAAAAAAAAAAAAAAATAGTGCATGTGGGTGCACACTTACATTCTCTGTCTTACTGTTACATAAATCCCATGAATGTATGAGATTAAGTTAGCTTCATCATATCTCAATCAGTGATTAAGTGAATAATAAAGTTTCTATCGGGTCACTATCAGCCTGTCACTCATTATTTTCAAGGAGGGGGCGGGGTTTGGAGGAACAGAGGAGACGGTGATCGCGGAAGCTTTCCTCCTGCCTTCACAAACTTTACACAAGTATTTATCAACTGAAAATAGCAAGAGGACATTCATACTCTGCAATCCAAGACTTGATTACATCCACCAAAAACTTGACATGACGATAACGAGTGTTTTTCAAAAAACACAAATCCCTCCCTGTGTGTCTCTGAGCCGCAGCGACAGGGCCTGATTCAGAGCGGGTCATTCTGCTGTTGGTTCTGGACTGGTGCTGGTGGAGAAAGCAGACTGCTCCGTGTGTGTTGTCGCTGTGGTGCTGTCACGTCTGTTCCTTGATCTCTGCGTCACCGACCATTTGATATTCGTGTGACAGAAAAAATTCTAAAATAAAAAAACTTTATTGTCCACCCGCGGCCGAAAAATCAATAAGCAACCATACGCTATCATCGATAATCGAGCGGCGAGCTACTGAAAAGCTGCCCGCGAGCTACCGGTAGCTCGCGATCGACGTGTTGGAGAGCCCTGGTCTAAAGTGTACTTCTCTCTGTTCTGAGGAAAGTTCCGGAAAGATTTAACATGGGAATCAATTGGGAGCTAGCTGAACTTTTTGTCACTTCATGCCCTCAAGAGGCATTTTGTTTAATATTTTTTCTTAATTTTTTTTATTTTCCAACCTAGGAGAGGTTTTCCTACGTTTTTCATGAAAATGATGTCTGAGGAGTGTAGGGTTTGGGAATTATGGCAGGTTTAAAACATTTGGGAGAATTTTAAGCACTCTTCCACTCTGTTTTGAGATCAAAGCACTCTAGACTTAACGAGCTGCTCCATCTACACTAATGTTAAAATCTGAAGAAAGCCTCTTTACCAAGCTCCAAACTAAGTTAAATATCTCAAGAAGTGTAAAAGATATGAAGAATCTGAATAACAAGTTTTATAGCTGAAGGTGTTGTGATCATTTGAAAGTTGGAATGAAGTGTCTAGCTGAAGTTATGTGGAAGGAGAAGCATTTGGCGCAAAGTGTAGGAAAAGAGGATTTGAAGGCATCTCCCATTGACTTCAATGTTAAAAAAAAGAGTTTAAAAAGCTGAATATTTAAAAAAGTATAAAATATTTTTTTAAATGTGAAGGTTTCCCATCGATTCCTGAACAGGCTGAATAGTTTAATATTTGAATGGTTTCTGTAGCTGAAAATAAGCTGAAGTTATGGAGAGCCAAAGTATTGGCTGAAATAAGTGGAAAAAATAAAGATTTGAAGTACTATAGTGGAATGCTGTGGCACAGCATTCGCACTAATAAAGAATTGAAGTACTATAGTGGAATGCTGTGGCACAGCATTCGCACTAATAAGGGGAAGAATAAAGAATTTAAGTACTATAGTGGAATGCTGTGGCACAGCATTCGCACTAATAAAGAAAAAATCGAATAAATATAGTGGAATGCCGTGGCACAGCATTCGCACTAATAACTCTTGACACAATTTGTCCTGGTATGGGGAAACTCAGCCCCGAGGATATCACAGAAAAATGTATATCTTTTCAAGTTTTTACACTGTCTCCTCTGAAAAACATGGTACTTTCTTCCACGTCCTTCATGTCCCTACTCTCACCCACACACCAATAAAGCTCAAAATAATTCACATTATAAAAACGCCTAGTTCAGTTCGATGGTTTTATGTTATTTCCTGAAAATATTTTATTTTTCTTCAAGCTTATTTTTAAATTGTTTTATTGAAAAGTTTTGGCTTTTAATTCTTAGAAATGTGAACAATTCTTTAGTTTGCTTCATAATTTCCCCTAAAAAAGGCTATTTTTTAAGAATTGGAAGATGAATTAATGTAAACTATTTTTTTTTATACACATTAACTAACTTTACAAAACTCTAAGATCACAGGGATGCTGGTTATTTTTACATTTTTGTAATAAAACAGTTTTAAGTGTAAAACTGTTTATGTTTACTTGTGTATCTTCTTAACAAAGTAGATGAATTTAATTGAAATACGATTGCTTTACTGTGGCTTTTATTCGTCCCAATTCATGGAGTTATGGTTAGTTGATAGATCATTAGAACAAAGGAAGGCTATTTCTCACTTACATATATCACTTATCGCAAGATAGAAATCTGAAATAACTTTATGGTACTACTTGCATTTAGCACACTAAAGACGTCTATTGTTGCATCTGTTAACATTTGATCAGACAGGTTTTTACCTTGTGCCTCAGTGCAGACCAGCAGCCCCAGAATCACGAAGATGAACATGACAGTCTCTGCCCGGTTGCCCTGCCTGAATACACAATGTCACAGGTTATAGTGTGTGTCCTGTTTTGCTCTATAACACACACCACCAAGTCCTTTTCCTGTAACAACCACACAACCTTTTTGCATGATGTGAAGGTATTAACCCTCCTGTTGTGTTCGTCCCCCCCCCTCCCCTTATTTGGGTGTTTGCGGTCCTGTTTTAACTGTTATTACATTAACACAAAAACCATTTATCATCACCAAATTTCATGTAACACCCTTTCAAACTGTAAATATTGTATCAGACTACTGGTATACAGGAAAAACTGCAGTAAATATACAAAGAATAGACACTGAACACATGTGGGGGGATGGGCACATAAGAGCGGGAATTGTATCAAATTGTTCTGTGTGTGTGTGTTTGTGTTCTGTGTGTGTGTGTTTGTGTGCCAGGTGTGCGTGTGTGCGTGCGTGTGTGTGTTTTTTTTATCTGATCCGGATGGTTACTGATTCCTTTTCTTTATGGCGGTCATTTTTGACCGGGAACACCATGGGTGTTACAAAGTTGACTAAATCATCCAAAATTCAATGAAAGTGGTGATCAGCAATTTTGTATGTTCAAATATCTACTGTGAAGGATATCATAAAGCCTTAATGCAATCGAATGTAAAACTAAAAAGTTATGATTGATGAAAGTAGTAAATCGGTCAGATTTGACCCGAAGACAACAGGAGGGTTAATTCACGCCTTTACCCAAGTTACTTTTATGTTATTTCTTTGCATGTTTTGTTACCTTATTGTAAATCATTTAATGTTTTTATTCTATTTCTCTTTTCAAAGTTCCTCTCTTATCTTGGTTTTGATATCTTTTTATAAAGACCTTTTTGTAATCCAAACGTTTGTCAAGAAAGCAGATTTTAATGTGAAAGTCAATTACAGGATAATTAAGAAGGCACTTTTCATTTAAGTTGGTGTATGTTGCACCAGATGAAGATATTTTGGAAACAAACATTACAATTGTGTCAATACATTACATAAAAAGAATCAAAGATGTAGTTTGCAATGTATATTACTCACATTAGTTTATGTGTTGCTTTACTTTGACTCTTTTAGCTGGTGTCCTGCACAAACAACCAAAACCACTTCCTTTCTCAGAGCTCTGTGTTTCACACCTTTTGCATTTTCCATGACTGCATACCAAACTAGAAAATGCATTTCCTGCAGGAAATGCGTGCGAATGCTGTAAACTGTGAACATTTGTGGCTGAATTTAGCTGAAAATGCAGAAAAAGCTGAATATGTTATTAGCTGAATGGTAGCTGCTTTTAGCTACAAAAATGCAGAAAAAGCTTAATATTTTAAAGAAAAGGTTTAAAAAAAGGTATAAACAACAACATGTATAGCCTTGATGTCCTGAAATAGCTGAATAATGTAATAGTTGAATGGTTTCTGCAGCTGAAAATAGGCTGAAGGAGTTAAATATCAGATGTAAGTAGTAGTGAATGAATTTGTATTAAGATGAGAAAAGAAAGTAAAAAGGCTTGGGAAAGCAGCAGAATATTTGAACTGCAAACTTTTGAACTAACTTGATGGTGAATTATCTGTCGCCATGGCAACGGCATTTGATGACACCCCATAATACGCTTAGATGTGTTGTTGGCTGCATCGTTACCAAACCTGTGAAGTTTTGGGCCATTTCGAGCATTTTCACTGAAGTTATGAGAAAACCATGTTTCATGGTGAGCATTGTGTTGCCATGGCAACGGCATTTGAAGAAATCTCAAAACTGTCCCGTAGATGTCTTCACGGCTAGACTGTTAGCACACATGTGAAGTTTTAGCACTTTTTGAACATTTTCATAGGAGTTATACATTACATTAGGAGGTTACATTACTCTCTCTCTTCTCTTGATCGCCCTCTCTCTTCTCTTGATCACCCTCTCAATCTTCTATCGCCCTCTCTCTCTTCTCTTGATTGCCCTCTCTCTCTTCTCTTGATCGCCCTCTCTCTCTTCTCTCTCTCTTCTCTTGCTCGCCTTCTCTCTCTTCTCTTGATCGCCCTCTCTCTTCTCTTGATCACCCTCTCTCTCTTCTCTTGATCGCCCTCTCTCTCTTCTCTTGATCACCCTCTCACTCTTCTATCACCCTCTCTCTCTTCTCTTGATCACCCTCTCTCTCTTCGCTGTAAGTCCAATGGACACGGTCCAATCGTCCCCCAATCTTCACTTGTATATCACCAGTCCATGCCTCAACAGCTCTACGCCAAATCTGAGATCTCACCATATGCCGTTTCCATGGAAACGCATCCCTCGCCATAAAAGACGATGTCGCTATAACCCCTATGAAAATGTTCAAAAAGTGCTAAATTCTTCACTTTCTTCTTACACATTACATTTCAGCATAGCAATTCAGCGTCAGCTTTTCAGCATAAAGCATTCCCACTAGCAATTTCTTCAGGAATTGCATTCTCTAGTTATTATTATTATTATCCCTCCTCTGTTGCTCTCCCTGAGGTTTCTCCCATTTTTCCCTTTAAACTGTTGGTTTTTCTCTGGAAGTTTTTCGTTGTACGGTGTGAGGGTCTAAGGACAGACGGTGTCGTATTGTCATACTGATATTCTGTACAAACTGTGAAGTCCACTGAGACAAATGTAACATTTGTGATAGTGGGCTATATAAATAAACATTGATTGATTGATTGATAAAGAATGCACAAATGTGTTTAATCGTTAATGTCAGATATGTACTAAGTAAATACATTTGTTCCTGCTCAAGATTAGATTACACTTTATTGTTATTGCACATATTACAGGTACTGAGACAACGAAATGCAGTTTAGCTTCTAACCAGGAGTGCATAAAGCAGTAAAATGAATGTAATGTACACAATGTACAGAATAAAATATAGAATGAATTGAATGATGAATAAACAGTGAGGGGTATGAATACACTAGATACACAGTAGCCTAGCCTAGTATGAACAGTGTGTTGTATGAATATGCTAAGATATATAAAGTATGACAACGGTAAGCAGTGCAAGTATAGTATAAAATATATAGATATTAATTTAATGATGATAAACATTGTGGAACAATGATGAAAAATGTGAATGGAAGTGGCGACGTAAAACTGACACAAAACAACACACTTTTGCCGAGCCAATGGAGAATTTCATCACCAGCACGGGGTAAAAACCACCAATGAGCGCTCAGCTCGAGATACCAGCGAGTCATTTCCCATCAAGCATTTCGCTTCCGCAGCCCGTGGAGAGAAACTGCGCCGCGCCTCGCCGCGCCGCGCCTCGCCGCGCCGCGCCTCGCTCTCAAGTCTGCGGGCGTCTTTGTCCCGCGAGATTTCAACGTCTTATGTAGACGAGCCTCCAGAGCAAGTCGGACAAAATGACTAACCATCATGCAACGCACTAGCAAGACGTTGATCGCAATTGCGCAGGTCTGCGTCGGTCTCGCTTGTCTCAAACAAGCCTAATTTTTCGGAGAGGCGAAGTCCCTCCCCTTCCGGTGGGACTCATGGGACCTTATTTCGGAAAAAGTTTGTATTGAAGTCAATGGAGAGAGAGATTATCTTTTGATCCCGTTTGAGTTGTGCCACGAATTACACATATGATGTTTGTCAATTTAAAAGAGAATTTTCCAAGTCAAAAAAATAAAAATGTGTCTTAAAATTGTGAAGTAACACTTATTTTGTGTGAAACTGCTCAATGAACTACATCTCCCGTCTCGCACCACACACCAAGACGGCCGTCACGTTGGCACATTTCACCTCTTTCTTTCAGAATGAGGCGAAAAGTATTAAAAGAGGTGAAAATCACTACAAGTCTGGGCCTGTTGAGAGCTGTACATACACACAAGGGCAGGGCCGCCTTAATGCACGGGCTGACCTGGGCTGAAGCCCAGGGGCCTACGGAGATCAGGGGCCTATCATGAGACAATAAATAAATTCAAAGAAAAAAATTCAAATTTTTTTCTTTTTTATTTCGGGAGTTTTTAAACATTTTTAAATAAACAAAGTCTTGTCTTTCAGAATATGAAACTTTTATTTCCAAAATCACACGATAAATACATTTTTGAAGCTTGTAAAGGGAAGAAGACAGCTCTCCCTCGCCACTCTGCTGTTCCACAGCGCCGCTTCCCCTCCCTCCGCTGAAATTATGAATGTAAGCCGTATAGTAATCATAGATAACACGGCAGGGTCCGTTACAGTTTGTTTTCATCTGATTTCAAATAAACAAAGTCTTGGCTTTCAGAATATTAAACTTGTTTTGGCAAATTCAGATGATAAATACAACTTTGAAGTTTGTAACGGCATAATTACAAGCGGAGAACGGAGTAACTTGACGTCACAGCAGGCATAACAACAGCCGGTGTTTCTCGTGAGTGTTTTCCCCGGGAAACAAACACAATACACACAAACGCAAAAATACACAAACACACGCACGTATACACACACACACACTCGTGAGCTTCCCTCCAGTAATCCAAACGAAAATATCTTCCCTCCATACTATTTTGATCATTTGCTCCGCTAATCAATCAGATCGATGGATTCCAGAGATTTTTCTCAAAAATGATGACTCCGTAACAGTCACAGCCAATCAGAATGAGAATATGTTTAACATGTGACTTATTCAAATTGCGAGTGATTGAGTGACAGATGAAGGTTGTTTAGGAGACAATGTCGGAGAAGAAAAAGTTTGAGAGTGGCGCTCGGAAAAGGAAATTGTTGAGGGAAAAGGAGTTTCGAGACAAGCAGCTGTTACAAAAAATGCCGAACCTTACGGGTTATTTAAAACCTGTAGGCCAGGATGAGGAGGAAGGACAGATTAGTTCTGTACCGAGCGGCAGCGGTGCCGGCCGCGGGGCCTCGGAGCCAAGTAGGCCGTCTGGTTCTGATAGCGATGGAGTAGCGGGAGAGGAAAAACAGACAGGAGGGACATTATCTGTTGGAGGAGATGGAGAGGACGACGTGGAGGGGAGCCAACGGCAACCGGACAAATACATGAGGCAGGCCCGATATGTCACTCATCTGGAGGAGAGGACCAGGCGCGCGTAGAGCAGAGTGGAGAAGTGCGATCACAGAGCCTGCCGAGGCTATAAATGACTTTGATTTGTTGTTTAAATAGGGGGCCTACAAAACCATAACCTGCCATCAGCCCCAGGGCCTGATGGCAGGTTAAGGCGGGCTTGCACAAGGGGAGTTAGTCGGTTCCGTAAGAGCCAGCATGCGGAACCGGGATTCTGGGATTTGTAGTCTTTCTAGTTGCGTATTTTTCATAGTCTTATATTTCAACAGTTTTACGACAAACTGTGACTTTTTTGACTTGGAAATTATTATTTAAGATTGACAAACATCATATGTGTAATTCGTGGCACAATTCAAACGGGATCGAAAGATAATCTTTCTCTCTCCATTGACTTCAATACAAACTTTTTCCGAAATAAGGTCCCATGAGTCCCACCGGAAGGGGAGGGACTTCGCCACGAGTAGCGGGAGCCTGGGAGAGAGGCTAGCAGGAAACTGGGGCTTTGGTCTGAACCCGCAGCTGCTGGAGGAAGCCGGAAGAAGGAAGTGAAGTTGGAGACGCGTGGCAGAAAGCTCAGAGAGAATCGGAAAATTCGGATACATACAGAAACGGAAGCATTGGACTGTTATTTTGGCGGATTTGCATAAACTGTACATTGACTGTTTCATCATGTCAACCAGCTCAGATGGTAGCCAAAGAAACAATATGGAATGGATGATATCCAAAGCTGCGAAGAAGAAAAGATCTTTGAGAGAAAGAGATAGTTCAGTAAGAGCTCGAAGTTGGTCGGATTGGTCGGGTGAAGCAGACAAGGCTAATCAAAGCAAAAAATCAAGAGTCAGTCAAAATGACAGCCAAGAAATGTTGAATAAAGAACTAGAACACGAGTGGAAAGTTGTAATAGAATTCAATCAGGATGGTGGGCATTACCACCCAATTAAACTTACCAAAGCAATTGAAAAAGAGATTGGAAAAATAAAATGTGCTAAATTCATGAACAACAAGCGGGTATTGATACATGCCAATAACAAACAGCAGCAGGAAAAGATTCTGGGAATGAACTCACTGAATGGGGAGAAAATGAAG